TCCCAAGCCAGTTCTTAACCAACACGCCACTTGGCCAACCCCCATTTGTCTTTTGAAGGATCGATGTAACCAAAACTCATGGAGGAAAAATACAGCTCAATTTGGAAGTCTCTTAATACTTGTTTTCTAAAAAGCAGCTCTACCGAACAGGACTTCCACCTCCAAGAACAGGAGTTCCTCCCCCAGGCCCTCCCTCCATGAGCAACCACAACACTGCTCAGGAACAGATAGGGTGGGCCTCTGATCCATGCCATGCCACGCGGACGGAACTCAACACAATACACAGAGAGAGAGCCGGGCACCAACAGGACAGACCATGTGATTCCACTGTCAGAAAAAGTAACCAGATCAGCAGTTGCCAGGGTGAGGGGACTGGAGTGACAGTCTCCATCTTACTGGTGCGGGGATTTATACATTTGTCAAAATTCACTAAAAGTACACTGAACATGGGTGTATTCATTTTACTGCATATAAAGTACAGCTTGATAAAGTCAATTAAAATCCACTTCATCTTCAAAAAGCTGGGGTTACATGAACGATTGGTGGAGAGACACCCACCGAAGTTAAACGAGATATGGCAATTCTTGATGAACTAGCATCAGAAAGTTCAGGAGTTGTGGGCCAGCCAGAAGTCACTGCCATCAAGTGTCTTTACATAACTGCTAGTCCATGACAGGTTCCTAAATTTTCCCGTAAGCTCTCAGGACCACGCCGAGTGTCCTGGAGAACGACTTACACGTGGAGGGAAAACAGGAAGGCGTTGGTGCAGGTGGGCAGGTCAGAGCTGCAGGGGAAGTGGGGAGCCAGGCTGACCGGCTGCAGAAAGGGACGGCAGGGAGAGGNTTCCTTTTCCTGTGGCTGCTTTCAAACCACAACAGCAGAGACGAGCAGGTAAAACGGGGATCCCGAGAGCCCACAAGGACTAAAGTGCTTACCACGTAGCCCTGTACAGAAAGAGCTGGCTGACCCCTGAATAGAGGTCGGAGGCCAAGGAACCAATTAGGAAGTTACTGTAATAGACGAGAATGAGCAGGGCTGACCTCAAGCAATGCTTAAAGGGCATGGGGCTTCAGAGGTAAACCTGCAGGAGACATGAAAGTCGGGAGAGAGCCCCTAAGGATGCCGTCCCAGGCTCCTGCTCATGGGAGCCGCAGGACCGTGAACTGAGATCAGGAAACCAGCAAGAGGAGCTGGTGTGGGCGAGGAGTGGCAGCAGCCATGGGACCTCAAAAAAAGTCCAAAGGCCAGAGGGAGGCCATTGACCAGAATGACCAGAAACACCGGAAGTCCGGCTTCACCTAAAAAGAGAGGAGGGGCAGGAGGAAGACAGAGATGTGCCCTGAACACGCCCTCACAGCGCCTGTCACAACACCCTTTCTTCTTATCGCCTCCTGTAGTTAGTTACTCAAACAAAAACACGTTAGCAGGAAAAGGACAAATGAACTGACCTGACTCAGCTCTCGGTGCCAGGCCTTTGGCTTGTAGTCTTGAGTGAATAAATTCTTCTTTTTCCTGAAAGAAGATAACTATCAGACAAGTTTCTCCGCCTTCCCGTTTCTGCCTGATTAGGACACAGCTCGCAGTACTCTGGGTGTGGGCTTCCTGAGAAGTGGCCTCTCAAAGCCTATTTCAAACCATCTGAATTCAGTTAAAAGTTTCAAGCTTGAACTAGGATTTGAAATGAGATGTTTAATAAACTCTGGGAGGCTGATGGTTATAAACTGTTTGTTTATAAATCCCTAGAATAAGATAAATACACTCCATCTGACTGCCCAAACGGATGAACACAGAACTTAAATGCTTTTCTTCTGGATTAGAATATTTATACTTCTTTGTCATATAACTTATTTATGAGTGTGCTGTTAAGAATTTAAATCCTCAGAAAGAAGGACAACATGTCACAGAAAGCTCTATTT